GCAATAAATGCTCACCAAAGACAAGAACAGATGGGTGATCATATCAGTTGCTGTTCTTGTCTGGTCACTTTAATATTATCTAAAGTCATCGGCCACTGAATTAGAAACTATCTGTAAAATTCTTTTAATGTTTATTTATTTTTGAGAGAGAGAGAGAGAGAGAGAGAGAGACAGAGCATGAGCGGGGGAGGGGCAGAGAGAGAGGGAGACACAGAATCCGAAGCAAGCTCCAGGCTCCGAGCTGTCAGCACAGAGCCCGACGCAGGGTTTGAACCCACCAGCCGTGAGATCACGACCTGAGCCGAAGTTGGACGCTTAACCGACTGAGCCACCCAGGCACCCTGGGGCTATCTTTTAACTCCCTCTATATGGTACAGCCCTGTCTGCTGTTGGGATTTATGACATTCTTTGCAATGATGCTAATACTCGGTGTGGTTTTTCTCCACCCTGTCCCAGAAGACTCCTTACCCCCAGCGAACAACAAGGTGACCAGCAAGTCATGTGAGTACAACGGGACCACTTACCAACATGGTGAGCTGTTCATGGCTGAAGGGCTCTTTCAGAACCGGCAACCCAATCAATGCACCCAGTGCAGCTGTTCGGTAAGACCCAGCATTTTAATGTCCCTGCTGGCCCCTACCCCAACACCAGAGCTTTCTCTGTGCTTACACCTTTACTTTGAGCCTACACCGTGAGGTGTTTGAATGGAAGATGAATTGCATTTGAATCCTAAGCCTCCCTGTTGATCTACTCCCTGATCTGCATCAACCCTGAACAACCCTGACCTATGTTAAAGTCAGACCCAGTTATATGCTGGTCTTGAAGCTTTAGGACTGTTTAAATAGACAAATATCAGCTGACGGTCTTCATTTGTCCTCCTTTTCTTAATAGTCACACCAGCAAAGCCTTCATTAGAAGGACTCAACGATTTTTTTATGTTTATTTACTTTTGAGAGAGAGAGAGAGAGAGAGAGAGAGAGAGAGAGAGAGAAGGCGCGCGCGTGCGCACACGCGCGAGCCAGTGGGGAAGGGGCAGAGAAAGAAAAGAGAGGGAGACACAGAATCCAAAACAGGCTCCAGGCTCTGAGCTGTCAGCACAGAGCCCTATGTGGGGCTCGAACTCACGAACCGTTAGATCATGACCTGAGCCGAAGTCGGATGCCACCGACTAAGCCACCCTAGTGCCCCAGTTCACAAGAAAAGAGGGGTATCTCTTGGATCCCATCTCTGATGTATTCTCCTAACCAGTTTGTCCCTGGTGCCGTGCATTGAGAACTCTCTCAGCAAAACATGATTATTTCTGTGACATTACTTGTCAGAACTGTGTATACCCTAGGAGTAAAGTAAATCGATTATATCTTCACGTAATCGTGCAATCCAGAGAATGTAATAGGTAGAACCAGAAAATGGAATAAAATGGCCATTTAACCTGAAGTGAGAGGAAATGAAGTTAGATGTAGAAACTTTTTATTGCCAGTAACGGCCTTAAACACTGGATTGCCAAGGGACGTTTGAGAATCTCTTCCCCTAGGGACTTGTAGTAAAAATATGGTATCTCAGTAGTTTGGGAGAATTTGGTTGTGGCCTTGCCTCCCTAATGACTTTTTAGGGAGCCTTCTCGCCCCAGAATTATTGCTTCTAAGAATTAAGAACAAGGTGTAAGGACAGATGTTTGGAACCTAGAACTTTAGGGAGGTGGAATCTATGTAAAGACAGACCTAACAGCAAGTAAGTTTGGTTCTCTCGCTTGCCTTGTGCTGAATTGAGCTGTCCATTCCGATCAGCCCGTGTAATTTTGCATTCCCCCCCTGGCCCCCGAGACAATTTGTCTCCCTGGCTTGGAGATTTATAAAGAAGGGGGGCTGTCATGCAAATCTGCATTCCCTGAAGTCCCAGTGTCCAGCTGGGGCACAATGGGGACCAAGGGATACAATGCAAAGAGAAGAGAAGGGCAAGACCATATTTAGGGCTTTGGCGGGGCTACAGCAGCTCTCTCACTGACTACCCTGTACCACCTCAGGGGATCCCCAGCGAGGATTGCCAACTCTTCCGTGACTTAGTCTCTGGCCTGGAGAAGTAGTAAGAAAGAAAAAAAAATAAAGCATAATCAAATCTCGGAAGTACCTAGAACTAACTATGCGAGGGCACTGGGAAGGAGTAGCCCATTTTGAGTCCCTACTCATCCCAGGTCCCAAGCTAAGAAGCCTTTACTTATTCCCAGATCCTTCTGACCTTAAGTTCTGTTTTTACTTGGCAGGAGGGAAACGTGTATTGTGGTCTCAAGACTTGCCCCAAGTTAACCTGTGCATTCCCAGTCTCTGTTCCGGATTCCTGCTGCCGGGTGTGCAGAGGTAGGTACCCCGTATCCCAAGAGGTAGGAATGCTGTTGGACTTGGAAGAGAGGAAAAAGCTTCCCAGCGTCCTAGGACGGGAAATTTTCTATGGTAGCCTTAGTTTAGAGCCAGGGGGTGGGGTGGGGGCAGTTGATTCACAAAAGGGAGAAAAACAACACTGATTTAAAAAAATTTTTTTTAATGTTTATTTATCTTTGGAGAGAGAGACAGAGTGCGAGCGTGGGAAGGGCAGAGAGAGAGGGAGACACAGAATCCAAAGCAGGCTCCAGGCTCCGAGCTGTCAGCACAGAGCCCGACGTGGGGCTCAAACTCGCAAACTGTGAGATCATGTCCTAAGCCGAAGTTGAATGCTTAACCGACTGAACCACCCGGGGGCCCCCCAAAAACGCTGATTTTAAGGGCAACCACCTGAAAGAAACCATGCGGGAGTGTGGCAGGAAAGAGTGAGCATCATCTACTGAGAAAGTGTCTCTGTCTCTTCTCCCTTAATCTCTTCTAGCTTTTACTGTGTTGTAAAACACGGGCCATTTCCATGCACAGCCTTGAAAGGAAGATTGGGCCTTGCAAAGCATTGACATGACCACTTTGAAGACTGTGCAGGGCAAATGTAGATATATTCTTTAAAACCCCACTGTCCAATGGTGACAAACTCAGTAAAAGCACATTGGAAGGCATCGTCTTCTCAAATTATAGCCCAAATGGCATCAGTGTCTTCTCAACCCAATTTTTTTCTTATTTGGTTTCCATTCCTTTGATAATAGCGCCATTTTCCACTCTGGGTTCCTAAGGTCAAGCATAATCGCCTTTAATTTCTCCTTTATTCCCTCTTCTGAGATTACTATAACAGCAATCTTTGATCTGTCTCTTTTCTGGCTGTCTCTAGCAGTATTCTAATTTTGTCTTCTTTCCGTCCATCCAATCAACATATTTATCGAGCATCTACTTACCATATGCTCAGCCCTGTGCTAGAAGCTAGATACATATTGGTAAATACAGTGAACATACAGGGCACCACTAGACTATATGGCATCTGTATGCGAATTTTAAAAAGAATCCTTTTATTTAAGACACTTTACTGCCATTTGCCAGAAAATGTTTGCGGATGCACCCCCTTAACGTCAGCACTTTTGTGCAGTACACACCCTCTACAACTGTATGTAGCATACATAGCAGCAAAGGTATGTTCTTTGCTCTTGTGGAACTCACATTCTACCATAGAAGACAAATCATAAACAAACAAGTAAGTGAAAATCTAAATATAAATATGTGAGTGCCATGAGGAAAACAAATAAAAGACTGAGGGGATAGCATTTACATTGAGTGGGAGGGAAGGCCTTGCTGAGGTGACATTTAAGCTCTCACTTGAAAGATGAAAAAGACCCATCCATGCAGAGATCCTGGGGGAAGAGCATTCCAGGCAGAAAGAAAAGAAAATTCAAGGGCCCCAGCAAGGAAGAGCTCAAAGCATTCAAGGATCTGATGACCAGTGTAGCTGGAATACAGTGATTATAGTCAACTGGCCTGAGATGAGGCTGAAGAAGTGAACAGGAGTCGGACCACACAGGACTTTCAAGGCCACAGGAAGGAGTTTGTATTTCAGTTCTTAAGTACATTGGGAAGCCGTCAGAAGGTTGTGAGCAGGGCATTACATGAACCAGTTGGTGTCTTAAAAAGATCTCATTGGCCGTTGTGTCCAGACTAGATAAGAGGGAAGCAACGAAGCAAGGGTAGAGGAGAGGGAGAAGGCAAGTGGAGAGTGAGAGTCTAGTTTGAGAGGGCAGATGCCTGGTTTAGAGACACAATATAGAGTAGTGGTTCAGACTGGAGCCTCTGGAACCAGGCTGCCACGGTTCTAATCCCAGTCCTGCTACTTTCTCGCTGGATAATCCTGAGCAATGCGTTCAACCTTTCTAACAATCTTTAAAGGGAGGATAATGTTAGCACTGACCCCCAAAGGGTTGTAAGGTTTAAATAATGCAGGAAAAGGACCTAGCACAGTGTCTTGCATACGGTGCGGGCACAATAATGAGAAATGGACAAGTTTGAAATATATTTACAGCATTGCTTCTTGACCGTGTGTCTATATTAGAATTACCTTGATAAATTTGTGTCCAGACTGGGGGTGGAGGGGAAGAGAAGTGATTCTAATGTACAGCCAAGGTTGAGAATCACTGAGTTAGAGGGACAAAATTATAGGATTTACTGATAGGGGATGGGCAGTTGACTCCTATACATTACTGCTAGGTTAATCTTCCGGAAACCTAACCTTAACCATACCACACCTTTACTCAAAAGTATTTGTGCCGGGGCATCTGGCTGGCTCAGTCAGTAGAGCATGTGACTCTTGTTCTCGGGGTCGTGAGTTCAAGTCCCATGGTGGGTGTAAAGCTTACTTAAAAAAAAAAAAAGTATTTATGTTGACACATATCGTACCTACTAAATGCCAGTCACAGTTCTAAACGCTTGATAAGAGCTCATTTTCTCCCATGAGGACGCTGTGTGGTGAGGATGGTCGGTATCCCCACTTTATGGATAACGAAACTGAGGCAGAGAGAGGTTAACAGCTTTGTCCAAGGTTATGTAGCTAGTGAGTCAAGGAGCTAAGGTTTGAGTCCTGGCTGTCTGGCTCCAGGCTTACCCTCTTCACTCTGGCACTGAAAAGAATGGCTGCCTGTTGCCAGTAGAAAACACGTCAACCCATGTTGTAGCTTCAGCTAAACCCTTGAGGCCCACATTCTTCCATTTGTGTACCTCAGGTTCTACTCACAGTGTTCCTGTGCTCTTTTCCCTTTGTACCTTTGCTCTCCCCCTCAAGATTTCTCCAACTCCAGTGTGCTTCAGAATCACCTGGAGAACTTTCAGATCCCCAGACAACCACTACAGAGATTCTGATTCAATGGCTTTGGGGTGGGGTTCCGGATTGTGCTTGTAGATATAGGCCCCACTGTGCACTCTGAGACAGGTGGTCCATACGCCCTGCTTTGAGAAGCCATTCCTAAGACCATGTAGGTGACTGGAGGCGGCCCCAAACAATGGTTTACATTTGAGCTTAGTGCACTTAAATTGAACCTGTTAGAAGTCTGAGACCTGAAAGCAATAGAAAAGTAACAAATGTCAGTCTCTGGTCAGAGCATCTAATTCCAGTCATATGGCAACCAACTTTGGGGTGAACGAGTGACAGCTGGTTCATGGTAAGGAACTGGGGGGAACAGAATGGCGGCCTAAGTAACAACTGCACGTGTACAGCAAGATCTGGGAGGAGGGAACACCACCTCTTTCTGGAAAACCCTTTTCCGTCCATCTCTGCCTGTGGAAATCCTACAGGTTTCTCAAGACGTACCTCACATGCAACTGCCTGAAATTCTGTTGCAGGCGGTCCTCTGGTCACGTTATGATAAATGCCAGACGGAAGGCCTTTCTCTCTTCTTTGCCTTCCCACCTCCATCCCTAATTTCTCCACCCCCAAACCCTGCTTATCCAACGGCCAGCCTAACTGCCCCCTCCTCCATGAAGCACTTTTTAAAAATCCTGTACGTTAGGAGTAAAACTCCTTCCTTTCTGAGACTCCTCAGCATGTAACTGGCCCTTCTCCAGTAGCATCTATCACTTTGTTACCTTTTGGTTTTCATTATGTGTGCCCATGTCTTATCCGCCCTACCAATTATAAGCTCCTTAAGGTAGAAACTATTTCCGATTTATCTTTTTCTCCCCCTCACTGCTCTAGGGAGAGAAATGCACACTAGCTTGGAAGTATTGCCAGGAAGTTATAGTTTGAATTAGATGCAATGAACATACGGTATTATTGTTGTGTTTCCTTCCTCTGAGTTACTGGTTGACAGTGGTTGGTGGTGCTGGCTATATATTGGCTCGTGGTCAGTAGGAAGTCACCTGGTGTCATGTCTGATCCCCAGGTGGTTTTTCCTCCCCGTCGCACTTCAAGACACTGTGATTAATATTATTTTAGAAAGAGATGACCTTGTTTTGAGTGCTGATCCCCTCTTTTTTTTGAGGTGGGGAGGGGCAGAGAAAGCCGGAGAAAGAGAATCTTAAGCAGGCTCCAAGACCAACATGTAGCCTGATGCAGAGCCTGATATGGAGTCCCATGTGGGGCCCGATGTGGGGCTCGATCCCATGGCCGTGAGCTGAAATCAAGAGTCAGAGACTTAATGGACTGAGCCACCCAGTCACTCCTCTGTGTATCCCTTTTAATATGTTCTGTTTAGTGGTTGTCACAAGTCAGTGTGGATTTAGTCACAGCCTGATTTGGTTTGTGCTTCAGTAAGGCCCTGGATCTTTCGGTAGCGGTCTCTCCCAGTGTGTGTGTCTGTACGTCAATACAGCTATTACATTTAAGCCAGAAAAGATGGGTATTTTGTTCCTCGTCTCTCTGCCCATCTTTGCCCCAACCTGAGTCTGCTCCAAAGGGAAGAGAGTCCATACAGAGCAGAGGTATACATGTGGCTGCTAATATAACCAGCTCGTTGCTCCGGTCCAGTTGTCAGGCTGAGGTTATTTTGTTTGGGGCAAAGGCTACAATGACAAATCTACACTGACGGACAATTAATAAAAGAAAGGAAACTGCCACAAGACATATTTTGCATCTGAGAGACAACGTGGCACAGAGGACATAGGCTCTGAAGTCAGAAGGACACAGATTTGCTTTTACTCAGGTTTCACCTACTCGTGGTGTTACCTCGGGCAAGCTGCTGGCCCACATACAGCCTTGTTTTCTTTTCAGCTCTGAAAATGGAGATCTGTAATATCTATCACCCATGGAAAGGCTGTAAAAAGTAACTGAGATGACCTGGAGATCTTGGAGGGGGGAGAGTTGTCTACACCCTCCCCTCTGTATCTGATAGTCTTGCCTCTTTATTTGCTTAATCTCTGTTCACAGAGTCCCCATCTGCTGAACACTTCTCTCATCACAATTTACATTTCTTTTCTCATGTCCTCAGAAGCAACACATAAAAGCAAGGTATTACCGATCACGTGTTGTC